GGGGGGGTGGGGTCACCCCGAGCAGCAGGGGGATGCCGTCGGGCACCCTGGGGCCGCTGCGGCCGCTGTCTTGCAGATGTGCCTGCGGGAATGCCAGGGTTCCTCGCCACCCAGTCCCGAATGGGAGACGTGCAGGAAGGCGCTGGCGCTCCTGGCTCCGCTGGTGGCCCTGGCCGAAGGGACAGATCCGTCCCCTCGGGAGGCGGAGGAGGACGAGGCAGAGCCGGAGCAGGAGCTGGTGGGTCCTGGGGAGCTGCCGCTGGCACCGGCCAAGCGTTACGGGGGCTTCATGAAGAAGACGGCCAAGGCGAAGCTGCTCTCTTTGCTGCGCGAGAACGCCCACAGCAAGGGCGGCCTCAGCAAGAAGTTCGGGGGCTTTGGCCGCAAGCCAGGGGAGCGGGCGGCCCCCGAGGACTACCCAGGGCTGGGGCTGGCAGGCGACGGGGGCGAGGAGCCCACGGGTGCTGGGGCCGAGGGGCAGGAGCTGGCGGAGCTGCACAAGCGTTACGGCGGCTTCATGCGCCGGATCCGACCCAAGCTCAAGTGGGACAACCAGAAGCGGTACGGGGGCTTCCTGCGGCGGCAGTTCAAGGTGACCACGCGGTCGGACGAAGACCCCAGCACCTACTCAGGGGAGGTCTCGGACCTATAGAGCCGGCCGTGCGACGGGCGGCATCACGGTCCCCGCGCTGCCGGCCCGGACTGCGCCGTCACCCCCAGCCCCTGCCCAGCCCAGCGTCATCCCTGCCTCGTCCCCCCAGGGGACCGTGGGGTCCCCATCCCCAGTTGTCCCTCTCTGGTTCACCTGCCCATCCCTTAGGGACCCTTGTGCATCGAGGGGACAATGCCACCCCTCCGGCTGCTGGCGGTGTGGCTGCGGGTCCAGCCCCGGGGCTCCTGGGGGCAAATCGAGCCGGGGGGAGATCCCACGTATCTTCCACCCTCCCGCGGCTGCAGAAGCACAGCAGGGTCTGGAAACCATCAGAGCTGATGTACAGGGCAATGGCCTCTGTGCACCAGGAAGGACGAGCTGGGGCAGGATCAAGCCCTCTGGGCTGGTAGATGGCTCACGCAGCCAGCACGGCCGTGGGGAGAGGTGGCTGGGCAGGGCTGGACCCGCGGCACCATCACCGGGGCAGGCAGCCGGCCGAGCACGACCCCGACTCTCCTCCCCGGAGCCGCTCGCCATATCCCACCCGTCCCAGTGCCCGCCTGGTGCCCCTGGGCTTCCCCCCTCTCCGAGAAGACCCCCGGAGGCAGGGTCCGACCCGCACCCCGGCCCCTGCTCCCCCCCCCCGCAGCCAATAAAAGGCAGATGCCAACGAAGCCGAAGCTGTGCCGGGTGCTGAGCGACCTCCACGGGGCAGACCAAACCTTTGGCGTGAAGGACCCATGCACCCCAAGCTGGGGTCTGGAAGTTCGGCCGGGGGTCCCAGCTGCAAGATCTGCAGGGCAGCACATGGTGGTACCCTCCCCGTGCCATGGGTGCCAAGGGGGATGCGGGACCCCACGCACCCTATTGCTGCTGCCCCTGGAGCCGTGCTCTGGGGAAGGCAGGGCCCCCCCAAGCCGAGCAAGGGCAGGGATGCTCAGCCCAGCCGGGATGCAGGTGGGGTGCTGGCCGGGGACCTCCTGCAGCGCAGCAGAGCGGATCCCTTGGGAATCGCAGCAGCTACCCCAGCCAGGAAGGGGCATCTGAGGGCAGTGACCGAGCTGTCCCCCCATTCCTGCTTGTGCTTTGAGGATGGCGTGACCCTACCGGCAGCAGCTGGGTGCTGAGAAAGCCCAGCCTGGGCAGCACATTCCGTTTTGAACTTCTTCATAGCCTTACCCTCCACGTAGCTCGTCACCATAGGAAGCCTCACGCCGCAGTTCCCGGCCCTGGTGAGACACAGCTTGTGTGCCAGACACAGCCGAGCCACCAGCTCCGAGGGGCGAAAGGGGGGACGTCACTGCAGAGCACTGGCACGCTCAGCTCACCCACGGCACGGGCTGCAGCCAGCACCCAGCCTGCCTGCACCCCAGTTTGGGCACCCCCGGTTCCAGCTTACCTCCCAGGGAACGGGGGCACCTAAAGATGCAGTGGGGCTGTGTGGGGAGAGCTGGCCGGACCCTGCTCTGTCCCCCTGCTCCCCTCCCTCATGCTGCCCAGGGGGACCAGCACCATAGCCCCCATCCCAGCCTCAGCCTCCTGCTGCTGCTATCTTCCTCCTCCTCCTCCTCTTCCCTCCCTCTGTAGCACACCACAGGGCTGCGCAGGATGAGGCCCCCCCCTCACTGTAGGACATGCAGACCCCCACCCCACCACGCACCCCCAGTATGGGTGACAAGGTGACTGCCCTGAGCACGGGGACACGCTGATCTGCAGGAGCAGCACAGGACTTTTCACTTTTATTATAAAAATATCTTGCAAGCAAAAAGAAAAAAAAAAAAAAAAAAGTCTGTACAAGCAGTCACACTGTTCTCAAAGCAACGCCAGGCCCCCCCTCAGCCCCCCGCCAGCCCACTGCTGCAAGGCCACCCGGGTGCTGCGGGAGCCAATGCAGGGTGCTGGCCCCATGCAATGGCCCAGGGAGGGGGCACATAGAAGACACTTGTCCCCATGGGTGGGCTGGGGGAAGCCCACCCAGCCCCAAAGGCAGAGCTGGGGGGGGGTCATGTAAGTCTCTCCACGGGGTTGAGGGGTCGTTACTGAGGCCTCGGTCTTAATTTTGCACTTCTTATTCTAGTGTTAAGTACACAGCAGTACACCCACGTACAACACGAAACATTGGGTTTTAGCTCTAAAAATTAACAGTTACATGTCAAACAGTCAAAACATGTTACACGGTACCTGCGGGGAGCTCCCAGGGGGGCCAGGCTGGCGGGGGCACCCGCAGCCCGGCCGGCGTGGAGCCGCACGCTTTGTACAAGCTTGGGGCAGCGCTGGTGCGTCCCGGCACGGGGCAAGGCTGTGCAGATGAAGATGAGGAGGAGGATGCTCAGTGCCAGGGAGCTGTACCAGGAGCCGCCCTGGGTGGCAGGATGGGGGAAAGCCTGCAGCAAGGGGGGGCTCGGCTCGCCGGCCTTCCCAGCCTCATTGGCCTTGGTGCAAGACCGAGGTCCTGCAGAAGGGACACTTGGGAAGAGAGGTGGACGCTTAGGTCCTTCCTTTAAAGCCAGAGTTTGTTTTCCAGGTGCCGGTGGCAGAGAGCCCCAGAAGGCAGCGCGGGGGCCCCGGCCAGTCTCTGTGGGGTCAGGGCAGCTGCGGGAAGCCGTGCAAGCCTGGCCGGGCAGCGGCATCCCCATGGGAGCCGGGCATGGAGGCACCGTCCCCATCCTCGCAGTCCGGCCGGAGCTTCCCGAGGAGCCGCTGCTCCGCTGGCTTAACCTGCTCGCGGGCAAACCCGGCACACCGAGGCTGAGCAGCCCCCGTGGCTGCGGGGGGATCCCGAATGGATGGAGCCGGCAGCCCCGGGACCAAGCTGCCCTGCAAAATTGGGTCTCTGCGGATGGGAGCCGACCCCCCCACAGTATCGCGGGCTCCATTTCCATCCCAAAACGCGGGTACCGCAGCGCATCTTCACATCGCTCTCGGTGCTTCCAAGAAAATCCTCCTGGGGAGGAGCGGAGCAGCTCCCCGCGAGGTGGGGGGGGTCCCAGCAGCCGCTGCAGCCCTGCTCACTTCCTCGGGATCTGGACGCTGGCGTACTCGGAGCCGGCCTCCTCAGGTTGAGGGGCCGGTCGCCTGGGTGCCTTGCTGAGGTGTACCATGTCCAGGTCGGCGTAGGTGAGGTTGTCATCGCCGGTGGGCCCCCGGTTCGTCTGGATGCAGGCGTACTCCGACTGCTGGCTCATCTCCACCATCCGGCGGATGGTCTTCCTCTCTCTGTCGAAGTTCAGGTCCGCGTAGGTCAGGTTGTTGGGGTCGGATTCCTGTGCGAGACACCAAGAGTTCCTCCTCTGGGAGGACGAGCGAGGAGCCCCCCGCGCCCACCCGTGCCCCAACCCAAAGTCCCACGCTGAAGTCAATCCCACTGCGGCTCGACCTGGGGCAGCTCGGTCTCTGCTTGTACAGGGGGAACGATGCCAGCAGCTGGCTGGGACGATCCCGCAGCAATGCTTTTACCCTGCGCTACGTCTTCAAGTCACCAGCCACCGCCACCACTGACAGGCTTCAGAGCCACCGCCGCAATTCAAGAGGCACCACCGCAGCTGCCCCGTCACCCTGTCCTGGTAGGGATGGGCAGGGGCCAGCCTGCCCAGCGATGCCCACGCAGGAGCTGGCAGAGGCTGGGTGGGATGGACAGATTGCCGCTGATCACGACTTTGCTCGTAACTGCGTCACCAAATGCAAAATAACTCCGCAAATAGCCTGGCTGGCTATCGCACAGCTGGTTCTCCAGGCAGCACAAACCCAGACTTCCCTGGGAGGAGGAGGAGAGAGGGTGAAGGCAGAAAAGGCGCTGGGAAGTGGCTACCCCATCCCTGGGGCAGCTTCTCTTCCCTCTCCAGCCACAGCGTGGAGACATTGAGATGTTTCACAGGGGAACCACCACCCTCCACTGGAGACAGAGATGTTTCATGCAGGAACCACCACCCTCCACTCCTGCCGCTGGTGCCTCCCTGGCTGCTCTCCCTCCCCAGGTCCCGGGGTTAAAGCAACACACCTGGGTAGTGGCCTCGCTGCTCTTCTCCGGCTCATGTAACCTGAAAGGGGGAACAAAACAAGTCAGATTGACTGAGTGCTCTGTTGCCTCTTCCCCTAGCGATGGAGCAGCTGGGGGGGGTTCAGATGCAAAACAAGGTCCTCGCAGCAGCACCCAGCAGGATGAGTCTTCACCAGTGAGCATTTGCTCATGTACTGGTCCAGCTACATCTCTGGACGTTGGCGACCTGGCTCCCACCCGCTTGTTCAGCCTCACCAAAAGCCAAGTGTTTGGGTACAAGATCACGGCGGGGGCAGAACCACAGCTGGAGAGACCGGCAGAGCCTGCACTCCTGCCTTCCCTTTCACAACAAGCTTTTGGGGATCCAGCTCTGTCCCGATCCCAAGGGTTGCCGTTTGCAGGCTGGAGGCATCCAGCTCAGCGCGCCCGCCAGTTACTCAGGGACTAGAGGAGACCAGCACTTACCTAGCAGATGGTGAGCTTTTACCTGTCAGAAGAGAAATAGTTTAGGAAAGAAATAGTTCAGGAAACAACATAACCCCCACCCCGCTTCCCTGGGCACACGAGCCCCCATGCAGAGACTGCTGCAAGAGCAGATACATGTCTTTTCCCAGAGGCAAGTGTCTGCAGTTTTCTGGAGTTTCATTCCCTTTACCACAAGACTGCTCCTGGCAGAGGGCAGGAGGTGCAGGGTGGGGGGGATGTCAGACATTTTACGTACAAGGAACAACAAAAGCATGTTTGACTCTGTTCCTGGCAGGCACTGGCATGCAGCAGCAACCAGGCAGAGCTTTCCCTGCAGCCTGCAAACAACCTGGGCAGCTCTGCTCCATCCTCCCCTTTGGGCAGGAGCTGCAGCAGCACAGCTACGAATTCAGTGTCCAAGCACTGATGCTCGAGACAGAGGGAGATGGGGGTCAGGAGCAGCTGCTTCCCTGCCATGTGCTTGGTTTCCTTACCCTTGCTCTGTTTTGCTCGGATGAGGTAAAGAATTGCAGCCACCAGCAGTGCCAGCACAGTGCAGACCACTCCCACCACGATATAGATGAGGAGCAAATGGTCTGAAACATGAATGAAAAGGGTCACCATGGGCCTGAAAACGCTGGTACCGAGCGAGTGCCTGCAGCCTTACAGCTGGGGTCGGGCTGGTGACACCTGAAGCACCAAGGATGGCAGGTCGGTACCTGCCAGCATCACACCCCCCAGCACCCCAATATTTCTGTCCTTGAACCAGACTCTGGTGGGACTTTGAGATTTCTCAGGGGGGTGACATCTTACAGCCTCCCCGGCAGGGACCGCATCCCAGCGGCTCTCACGCACCGTTATCTGTCAGGGTCCTGTCGCTCAATTCCCCCTTGGCTGCAACAGTGATCCACAGGGTGGCCGTGCTGTCGATGGGGCCCCGGGCATCGTGCACCACTCGGCAGGTGAACACGGACCCGTTCTTCTCCTCCGTCGCTTGGACCTCCACCAGGCTCCTCAGCTCAAACAAGCCCTGGGGGGTCTCCACCAGCTGGGAGATGTTCTCCACCTTTATCTCCATCCCGTTCTCCAGCCAGGTGACGGCCACATCTCCTGGGTAAAACCCCTCCACGTAGCAGGAGAAGTTCATGGTCTTGTTCACCTCAACGGGGCTCGGCACGCCAGCGACCACGCTGACTTTGGGGGAAACTGGGAAGAGAGGCAGCGCCTGGTGCCTGGCATCCCCTGGCTCTGCTGCCCGCAGGGTGCCCTGTCCCTGTCCTGGGACCCCCAGCCCCACAGGAGCTGGGCACCCCGAGCGCCGGTCCCCCCCCAGCCCTCACCTCGCAGGGCTTTCCTGAGCTGGTACATCCCCCTCAGCGGGGCCGTCAGCGTGGAGTGCTGCACCTCACAGATGAGCTGCGAGCGGACATCGTCCTTCTGCAGTGTCACCACCGCAGTGCTGGACATGTCGTAGGAGGATTTCGTCTGCCCAAGGGTGATACTGGGTGGCTGAACTGAGATCCGGTCCTTGTCCTTGAACCATTTCACATCAATCTCTTTGGGGAAGAACCCTCCGGCCGTGCAGGTGAAAGGCACCCGTTGCCCCAGCCCCGTTCTGTTGTCGGGTCCAGACACAACTGGGGGGGTGGGTTTGGCTGTGGGGAGAAGTGTGGGGCCGTCAGACCGGGCTCTGCCACCCCCACCCAGCCCGGGGCTGCAGGGACCGGGGTCTCCCATGGGGGCACGGATGTGCCTGGGGATGGACCATGGGACCGGCCCCTGAGCCCCTTCCCCATCCCCGCTCGCCCCGAGCTGAGCCCACCGGGCTGGGATGGGGCAGGGGCTGCTCCCGGCAGGGCTGGTTCCCACCAGGAGCTGCTGTGGGAGCCCCACTCACCGTGCACGGACACCACCGTGCCCTTTCCACGTCGAAACACATCAAGACTGACCACCCGTTTGTCGAACTTCACGCAGTAATAGGTGCCGGCATCCTCGGGGCGAACATCCCTGATGTGGATGCTGAAGTCTGTGTTGGACTGACTCACTATCCGCGTCACGCGGGGGACGGTAACCGCCTGGTCATAAACTGTCTCGTTCCCATCGCCCCAGCCCTTCAGCCACTTCACGGGGCCGAGGGGACCGGCTGCAGACGTGGTGCAGGTCAGGGTGAGCGTCTCCCCCGCTGCCACCGACACCTTGTCCTGGGGCTGCTGCAGCTCGAAGTCCGGACTCACCTGGGCACCCGCACCTGGGGAAAAAAACAGACCGTGTCTCATCTGGCACCGCACACCCGGCCAGGTTCCCCACCTGCCCCCCGCAGCCACGGGACAGGCTGAGCACACAGCTCTGGTTAGCAGGGACCACGGGTGACGGGGCTGTGCCAGCCCCACAGAGCCCAGGGGAGAGAGGCTGCGGTTACGGCAGCAGGCACAGACCTCTGCCCGCAGGTCTCAGCCGTGGAGCTTTGCTAGGTGACCACATGTCGTGCTCTGTACAGCTAAAACATTGAGCAAATCCCAGCTGCCCACACCTGCCGGCCCCCCCGTGCTGCCTCCCATAGTCGCTCAGCTTTGTCAGTCGGGAGGAAACGAGGGCACAAAATACAAGGCACTCTAAAAAGCAAGCTCCCCTCGCAGACGCAGATGCGATACCATGTTTTCCACACTGAATCTGTCCCATTTCTCCATTGAATCCAAGCCCTGATTTGTTCCGGCAGCGCACAGCCATTAGCCGAAGCCGGTGCCAGTCAGGCACACGCCATTCCTGCTTGTCACCGACAGAGGAGAGCAGTCCCCTTCGAAGCATCTCAACAGCGAGGCTCCCTAATCCAGCTGACCACGTTGCACCACCATCCCAAGTGACCCCCACCTACGCACCCATGGGTGCCAACGCACCTTCCCGCACGCTCGGTCAGGCGGGGCGAAACTCCCAAGGTCTCCAGGAAAACTGCAAGGGCTCCGCTCTGCCTGCGGGCAGGCAATAACAAAATCCATCTCGGGTGGACCTGCAGCCAGAGCTGGCGGGGACGGGGGTCCGAGCTCGCTGCCGTGCAGGTGCAAGGCACCAGGAGCCGGCCGGCTTAGCCCCCAGTAACCAGCAATGCCGCTGCTCCCCGCTCCCTAAAAACAGCTGCAGCAGCAAAGCGAGCCACCCCATACCCTACACAGCCCTTCAAGGGGTTAATTTTGGCAACGCTTGCCATGTCAATACAGTTATTGCAACTGAACCGAATAAGATTTCAATACAGGTCACTGTTTAAAAGAACACTTTTAAGCAATGTGGGGGAGAGGTGGGAGAAGCACTTAAATCCGCCTGCTGATAACAGGGGCCAGGCACTGCTGACCACTGCAGTCCCGGAGCTGGCAAGTGGCACGCAGAATTGGTGTCACGGTCATGCAGAGACTGTCATGTTTGAGCAGGTAACTCCTGCTGCAGCTGAGCAGCGCTGGGAGCACATGGACCAGCATCCCGGGCGGGTGGGAGCTACGCCAGCACAGCCAGCTCTTCAACCTTGTTGGCTGGAGGGCTGCAGCTGCACCCCACATCTCTCACACCAGAAAAACCCAGGGCAGCAACTCCTGCAAAGGCTGCCCTCGGTAATCCCGCAGCCTCCTGCCACAGCCAGCCCCAGGACGGGACAAAATCCTTGGCTGGATGCTCCCAGGAGAACCCGCTGTAGGACGAGCTGCTCTGACCCTTCCCGGTCACAGCTGGCTCCCACAGAGACTGGAAAGGATTTTTGGCTGCTGTTAATCCCTTCTGACTTCCAGTGGTATTTGATGTACCCACAGATGTTCTGTCTGTGTAATTACTCAATCTCCATGGCCAGAGTTACCAGGAGCACAGTTTCTCCAGACTCCCCAAGTTAAGGGCTTTTTGCCCAGGGCATTAATCGTCTGCATCCCCAGCGCAGGCTGATGCTCGCAGCCGAAACCTTCAGCCCTTGGTTGAAGCCATGTCAAGGCTAACGTGGTAGCAGCACTCGACACCAAAACAAGTTTGTCCCATAAGACAAGCGCGGAAGGATGAAAACCTAGTTTGTGTCACGTCCGAACGTGTTGTTCAGGCTGAGCCTCGGTCTTGCGTCTGAACAGCGGCGGTCTGGGCTTTTTGCAAGGCGTTTCTGGGGTGACACCCAAATCGAGGGGACCAGCCCCAGAGCAGAGCCCCTGCCCTCAGCAGGGGCTTGTGCATCCCACACGCAGAGCACGGCGGAGATGCGGGGCACACGCCGCCAGCTCCGCAGCTGCGGCGTCTCCTGAGCTTCTCCATCACCTGCTGCCCCCGGACCTTTCGCAAGAAGCGGTTGAGAAACACACAGAGGAAGTTTGAAAGCACAGAAGCACCATCCACCTCTCATCATCCGCCTCTTGCCAAGCCCCCGCGCGGGGATGTAACACAGGCGGGGGACCGGGCTGCTCTGGGCACAGGGACTGGCACCCCCAGCCACCCACCGCACAGACCCCCCCGGTCCCTTTGCATGCCCAGCGCGGCCGTGTTGCTAATTGCTCGCTTCACCAAGTCGGGCAAACGAAGCCCACCGCTCGTTAGTGGGTGGCATCGTGACACAGCCGGAGCTGTGCGCCCCACGCGTGGCCACGAGAAGCGAGGGGGACGGGAGCCAGGACCCCTCCCCGCCACAGGGGCTCTCTGTGCCCCACGATGAACACGTCGTCGCTCGCTGCCCCCCTCTGCAATCCTGTGTAAAGCCAACTTCTGTGGGGTGGTGACCCCCCGTGTCCCCTCGAGGGTCCCCTGTGCTGGAGCGAGCTGCCCGGCGCAGCCGAGCCCAGCCCAGCCTGCAGCAAGCCGAGCGCTTCCTCTTCATCCTCCCTCTCTCCATCTGTTATTCCCCCCACAAGACACGCACCATGCCAGAGGGGAGAGAGACAGGGAAAACACCCACTTTGGGGTCCCGGAGCTGACCCAGAGCGTGGTCAGGGCGAGCGGCACGGGCATTGCTCAACCCCGAAGCGCGTTTCTTGGTTGCAGCGATGGGGTCTCGGAATGACATCCGCAAAAGCACCGGGCAGTTAAACTGAGCGTGGCTGGCAAGGGCTGTAGCTCCCCGCCGCCTCAGCACAAGGCTCCTGCCTTCCCGGGAATCACAGGGATTTATCTTTGCGGGCAGCGGGGCTGCCTCTCCGAGAGCCCAGGTTTGCAGTCGGGCTGCGGATGATCTGTGTGCATCTCGCACCTCCTCGCCTGGCAGCGGCGTGCGAGCACCCTGCCTGCTCCCTGCGCCGAGGGATTTGCAGGCAGAGCACGTGCTGTTGTCCAGCGGCAGGGCTGCCGGAGGTGCTGCTGCAGCGGGGCCGCTGCCACGCGGGGCTTTTCGGATGGTGCTGCTGCTCCCCGAACAGCCCCGAGAGCAGCCGAGGAACAAAGGGGCTTCTTCACGCTGCCTCTGGTGCCGCCTGCCAGAAGGCTTCACCGGCAGCTCTCAATTTCTCGGTCACTGCGGAAAAACGCTGTGTGGCTCTAGGTAGTCTCCCGGATTAGGACTAAAATGGGGCTTTTGGGGTATTTTGCCACGTGTTCTGCCTTGAGCCGCCATGCTACTTCAGAGACTTTCACACACAGCTCTGCTCGGCCAGCGCTCTCCAGATCACCCCGTCCGGGGTTTGCAGGAGATCAATTATACACGAGCTTCAGCCATGATATGCCACGTTAACACCACACTGCCTTAACGAGACCTGCTCGCGCCTCCCAGCCGAGGAGCACGGGTCCCCGTCAGACCACCCGACTTCCCCACCTGCCTACCCTGCACCCAACAGCCAGGACCAGCCCGACTCACCGCACGCTCAGAACCACCTTCAAACTCCAGCAGCGTCGCGCAGAGCGATGCCCCCACCCCCCTGCGATGGGAAAACACAAAGGGGAAGTTGATAGAAAACCCCAGAATATGCAAGTTAGAAAATGCAAAGTTTCCCTCCCTTCCCCCTGAATGCAGCTTCTCCTTGCACCCAGCAGAAGATCTCTCTCCTCCTTCCCCTTTCTGGGTGCTCGCCCCGAGAAGCGGTGGGGCCAGGACCCCAGCCGAGCCCCCTCCCAGCAGGTATTTGCCAGCAGCATTTGTGCATCAGGAGCGGGACGCGGCAGGGGGGTCTTCGTGCTGCAAACGCACAGGACACGCCACCATTTCTCACCGCAAGCACTGGTTCGGTGCGAACCTGCTTCCCACCTGCACATTCACAGGGCCACCCGATGACGCCGTTTTCTTCGACTTCGATTTCAAACCACCTAGAGTTGGAGTGTGATCCTTTTGCCCCCAGGATCAAGGGGACTTCAGGTACTCTGACCCTGTAATCTGCTCTATCCTACACTCCAGAATTAGCAAAGGGTTTTAGTGACCTGAAAATCACCACCTGACAGTTCCCACGTAGGTGGAAGCACCCTCGCAGCACGGACCCAGCACACTCCCAGCCCAGAGAAGAGGCACGAGCACAGGCATCGTGCTGCGCCTGGCCTGGCAGAGCCTCCCTCCCATTATTCAGTTTAATTTGAGCGCAAAATAATCCCCAGCTCTCTCGCTGCGGTGCAAGTTTCCATCTCAGTGACACATTTTTTTTTTCCCTGTATTCCACCTTTTGAAGTATTTGATACTGAACAGATTGCAAGAGGCTGGGGTTTAATTCAGGAGAGGCTGCTTGGATGCTTCCTGGTAAAAATAGATTTTCTTTTTTTTTTTTTCTTCTGAAGGAGCCGGGTGAGGAGCTCTGGGATGGCAAGGGGAGGGCTGCATGCTCCAGAAGCAACATGCAGCTGGTCACCAGCATCCAGAGCCCCACGGTCACTCACTGAAGGAACGGGCCGACAGGCAAGAGAAGCCCCAAAATAATCCTGCTGGAATTTCACCTGCAGCAGGGCTGCCTGTGGGGGAAACTAACAGGTGCTGCCTATAAAAAGGGCCTGGAATCTGCAGTTCAGGGGAAGACAAGAAGAGAGACCCAGGCATAGCTGTCGAGCACTATGCAGATCCCAGAGCAGCTCGGGGACGGTTATAGTAAAGGCTATATTTTACATACATGACATCAGAGGAAGCCTCGGATCACACGCAGCCACCATTTGCAAGCTTCCCTCCTACAGCATTAGCAGAAATTCAGCTTGAAAGTCAGAGCCCCACAACCAAACAGATTTCCTCTTCAGAGGAAGCTCTGGGAAGTGCAGCCGAAACCCTCCATTGAGAAACACCTGCACGGAAGGGTTCTGCACTAGACAGATTTTGCAACAGGGCTTTGCAATTTGGCTTCCCAGCATCTCGCTCCTCTTTGCCCTACAGGAAGGTCTCCTGCGGGACCTTCCCTTTTCCCCTCCGCTTCTGCAAAAGCACTGTCGGAGCAGCCGCCCTCCGGCAGCGGGAGCCCCGGCCAGCTCTTCTGGAGTTCAGGCTTAGTTGGAGCCGTGGCCCAGGAGGGTTCACCGCAGGGTCTCCACCACACGGAAAAAAAAAAGAAGAAAAAAGAAAAAAAAAGATCTGCATGCTTGCACCTAAGATCAGGGATGCAAACCACCTTGCAACCCAGGGCTTTCTGCCCCAGGATGGTTCTTCTCCCATGGCTGGCTTGAAAAAATGGGGTTCTTACTCCAAGGCCACATTTAAACAAACTCAAGAGCTTTGCTCGAGCCATTCTTTCATGGCATGAAATCACGGTGGTTCACTGAGAAGCTGCGCTCGCCGCCAAAGCCTTCTTGGCTTTCAGCAACCGGGAGTTTTCAGCTTGGGGCCAACACTTCTCAGTTGTGATCAGGCAACTCAAAGCAAGGAGTGTTGTGCTGAAAGCATTTGCTTTCTGCTCAAGTTTGCGCTCAACTCTCTGCCCAAGTAAAGCTTCGCCGGTAAACATTTCCAATGGGCCTGGAAGAGTACGGTTTTCCCCCACGCGGGATGGTATTTCACCTGTGTGGGAGCCTGGCCTGGGCTATTTGCAGCGGGATCTGGCCAGAAGGTGTGAAATTTGGACAGACCAGGCAAAAAAACTCAGCAGCAAGATGCTCCTGAACATGCATTGCTATTGCCCCAGGAGGTTTGCACAAAAAGCGCCTTCCTGGAGGTGCAGACAGTGCTGGGCAGGAAGGAGGGTGATTCCTTATCAATAGCGCCTGAGATGAAGAGCACTGAAATGAAACATCCTAGAAAGAAAACGTCCTTGAAAGCAGCAGCCACCACAGGGCTTCGTTCCTGGTGGGGCGAGAAACTTCCCACTGCTAGCAAGGGAAGGGAAACAGCCAGGGAGCAGCACCCACTCCGCTCATCCCTTCTCACGCTGCATCCCCGAGCTTTTATAAGGGACCGGTGGAGCCGCAAGCCCCGGGGAGGGCTTGGGCACCCGAGGGGCCAGCAGCAGGAGCCCGAAGTGACCCAGGGCAGCGCTCGCAGCAGAGTTGGGTGGTGCAAGGTGCCTGGGAGGATGGTGCAATCCCACCGCTCTGGTGCTCAACAGTTGGGTAGAGCAGCGAGAACTGCGTACCGTTGAGGGTAAAGCAAGGGGATAGCAAGAAAAACAAGTTCCTGGTAGAGGAGGCTGGCAGCCCTCGCTGCAGTCTCCCCTCGCCTGCCCTGCCATCCTTCCCGTCTCCAGGCAGCCTCCGAGTGTGAATTTGGGCTGCCTGCAGAGATTTACCTCTCACATAGCTGGCAGGGGGTGCTAGCAAATGGGTGGAAACAACATGCCTCCTCATGTCCCTGCCTAATTCCCTCATCTCGCTGGCAAGAGGAATGTCTGCCTTGAAGTTTGCTTCTGGAGGAGCAGCCGAGCGAGGGCCCCTCTGCCATCGCCGCGCTCTAGGTCATCTCGCAGAAAGGTCAAACCAAACGTGCGCGGCGAGACAGCATCATGTCGCGTACGGGAGGCGTGCGGCAGAGGGGCAGCAGAGAGGAGAGAGAAGGATGGAGGAGAAAGGGGAGGAAAACAAAACAAAACAACAAAATAAAACAAAACAAGGGGGAAAAAAAAAAAAGCCAAAACAGCAGGAGAGCAGGAGAGCATGGCTTACCTGGCCAGCCGTACAGGGAGAGCAGCACCAGGCAGGTCAGCGGCCAGGCGGCACGGCCGGGGCCGCGGGGAAGCGGCTCCATCGTCGGCTCTTTCTGGGAAGCAGAGATTAGAGTGGGTTCAGAGCGCGGCTCCGGCTTTGGCTTTTTTCTTTTTTAAAAAAAAAAAAAAAAAAGCAGCAGAATTGCAGCTGGAGAAGGAAACCGCTCTTCTCAGCCCCAAAATGAGGAAGGAGGGCTGGGCTCCCGCCTTCCCCCGGCTGCGGGCGGAGAACACACACACAGACACGGACACGCGGGGCCCCACCGCCGCCCGTGGGCACCGACCTGGCCGGGCCCCGGGCTCGGGCTCCGCCG